CTTTTATTATATTGAAGTACAGGAGAATGACAAGGTTTGGTTTTAAACAACTTGACAATGTAAATTAGGGAAGGGTCTTTGTAGCCACTGAACCTTACAAAGCATTGCTGGCATAGTCATTTCTGTGTCTGGCTAATTCTGTGTTTCTCTGCAGGAGAGGGTGTTTCTGCCAGTGACATGCCATGTAGTGGTGGGCAGCAGACTGATGCCAGAGAGACACAGTGATATGGCAGAGGCCACCATTCCAAGAGTGCCAGCTCGGCACTGACTGGGCTGCAGGATTAAATAGCATTAGTCCTGTACTGCCTTTTGTGCCGGCAGCCTTTGGCCTGACATATCTTACTTCTTCCTCCCTGCCTGCTGCCTTCCTTGAGCAAAAGCTGAACTAATGCAGCCACTCTTTGCAGAATCTACATGCTCCTATCTTTAAGGCACTGAGCTTCACAGCACTGTTGCCCCTTGACTTTGTGGCACAAATCTTTTCCTCTTTAATGCATACCTTGTATCCTTGCATAATATCAATACCTTGATATTATGCTTTCAAAATCTCATCATTTAGAAGAAGCCAAATTTATGAAAGACCTGATTTATAGCTTCTGATTTATACCACATACTTTCCTGGAGTTACTGATGCTGACCTTGCCATTTTTAAGAGAGAAACAAAGTCAAACTTCTGCCAGACAAACCAGGTTTAAACATCAGTAAGGAAGGAGACTGACTGTCCCAACAAGAAGTTATGGGGAGCTAGTAAAGCAAACTGAGAAACATGAAGCATTTATTATTCACTGGCAATAATGGTTTCCTGTTAAAATTGGCTGTTTGACAAAGGTGATGAATTTAATTCCTTGCTTTCTCATTGGGGAATTAGGAACTTAGCATGGGACAGGAGAAAAAGTCCTCTGCCTTCTCTGAAGAGTAAGCTAAAGCTAGCCAAAAATAAAGTTTGGAAGGTGTTCAGGAACCACTGTCAGGAATTTTGTGATTTTCAAAAGTGTCAAAAATATTGAAGTACTGTAGTTGTCCTGGAAGCCAAGCCATTGTTCACCCCCACACACGTCCATGTGGAAGCAGCTCATTGAGTGCTCATTTAGGACATAACCTATGAAATAGCTGCAGTACAACTTCTCATGAATGTCAGCAAAATTTAGTGCCTGTCAGGAAGTGACAGTGAGACTCTGGACTTTTAAAACATCATATCGACAGTGAATTTTTTGCAAGCTTCAATTGCTTAAAGGATTGAAATTCATTATCTCCTGTAAAAACGTGACAAATATGGAAGATGAAGGAAAATACTTAGTTTTACATATTTGGCCAATTTTTAGGTTTTACTTTAGAGCTGCTTTTGCTTTTAATGGCTGCAAAAACAAAAGAGCTTCATAGCTGCTCAAATGTGCAGAGGAGTTATTTATTAGGTGCTATTTCAGACTCTGTGCTTGGACAGACTGGGCTGTAATATCAACCTCCAAATTAGTTAGTACCACTGCTGAGGGATGTTTTCCAACATCTTTTTTTAGCACTGTTAGATTGGAGTTTAGAGTATGGATTATTTAAGGATTTTTTGAATGGGGCCACTGAAGATGAACTGGAGTGATTCTGCACTTGAGTTAGCAAACACTGAATTATGACTGTCTGTACAACATGCAAGAGCACACAGATGCAGCTGACCCTGTTGCTGAAGTAGTAGTGCATTGCAGTAGATTCCTTTCAAAAGCATTGGGAAGAGAACTCTAAAAGACATTATCTTAAAGGAGAGACACCTGCTCGCTGCATGTTAAGACCACTGATTTAAGGAACTGTCAGATTTGGAGGTCAGTCAGGATTGCTGTATTAGATGTGCCATGTTTAGACCTTGTCTGCCAGTGGCTTAATGTTCAAATAGCAAATACATCCTGATAGAGATACAATTTTAGAGACTTCATGTTTATGCACTGTTTCTGGGAAATAATGGATTAAGTGTCCTGTACTAGGGCTACAGCCACTCCCCCAAGGATACAACCTATGTAAAGGTGCTATTATTAGACCTTCTCCTTTTTTTTATATTTAGCCAAAATAGTCAATGACTTAAAAGACAGAGCAATTATCACTGTCTGTCACGTGGAAATTATTGCTCCCACTGCTTAGTCAGGAGAAGGCATCAGTGTTTTAGATGCTCTTGCATCTACAGTAATATAAATTGTCTGAGCTTTCTCCAGCTTCCAGTGAGGGTACTTTGAATAACTTAGACAAGGCTGCCTGAGAATACAAGGGTGTGGTTAGACACAGAGGGGTGTTTCATGCTACCTTCAGGTGGCTGTGATATCTCATTTCCATCCATAGTCACCAACACTTTCAACAAACAATTATCAGCCACCTGTACCCCACTGCTGTGAGATTTGCACTGCAAATTCAGAATCACAGTGGCATCACTAGTGTTTGTACAAGGAAATCAAGAACTGATATATGTCAATTCAATGTCTTTAGAAAACATGCCCTTTTAATGCTTTAGGATATTGGCTTTGGTTTTGCTTACAGTGAGTGCCCTGTGAAGGACTGGAGCAGACTACTGACTTTTTTGCCCGTTTTTTGCCAAATACTATTTAGTTGATACTTTTTTCCTGTTGGTGCAAAAGGACAAGAATTAATTGAGATAATTTTTTGGGATTAGAAAGTGAATGTTCATAATTTTTTTAATAACTACTGAAGTTATTTATAAGTACTACTGAATTTTTTTTATAATAAATACTGAAGCTGTTTCTGAGTCTGCTGATATTCCTTGGGAATTTAACAGCATTGATGTACCTCAACACATTATTTGTCTATAGTTTTATCCCCATGTAAAAATTACTGAAAATGAGTGCATGAAGAAGAATGCTCTAGCAGTTATGACAGATTGGGAAAACCTCCATGAAAGACACTTTCTTTTATCTTTGCCTCTCTTAAACAATAATTTCTGATGTAAATCTTAAAATCAGACTGAGAGAGAAGGCATAGTAGTGGGATCATGCTTGTATCAACCTGTACATCCATTTGTTACTCACCCTTTTCTGCAGACTTCCACCATACCCTAAATCTTTCCAATAAGAAGCCCAACATGTGTCTCTGCATGGACATTTGCAAGCTGAGAGCTGCCACTGTGGAGCTCGGGCCAATGACTTCTAGAGAAAATGCATGAATCTTAGCAGCTAGTGCAAAAAGAGACAGAATTTCCAGTTGTTGTGGATGCACATCCTCTGTGTACTGGACACAGATGTGTCATATGACACATTTTCTGACTGGTGGCCTGCTCAAACAAAGAGTGTGACAAGTGACTGAAATGTGAAATATGCACTTTGGTGATTCACTCCATAAGTCACAAATTATTGTACTTTGAAGTACGGTACCTCTTTTTAGAGACCCTTATTGTGTGAGCAATATTAAATAGGACTCTCTTGCCTGTCAGTAATGCACCTTGACTCCTTTGAGGTCTTTATTACAGGCTTTGAGCAGCTACCTAGATCAAGATAATATTCTCTGTCCAAGAGTAAGACCTAGGACAACAATTCCTTCTTTATTGTTGCTCTCCAGAGATGTTGGAAGTCCAAAGAGTCTGTAAGGCCAATGATAAAACTATGGAGTGCACTGTTAAAACTAGAAGCAAGTACAAAAAAAAACCCCCATTAGGGTAGTTTATTTCAGAACTAAAAAAAGCTAACTACTAGGTCTATTTGGAAAGGGGACTTAGCAACTGCAACATGCAGGATGGTCATTTGCCTACCTTGCCAGCTAGTTGTGTGCATGTCTGGGAAGGAGAAGCTCCCAGAGCAGCCTGCAGGGACAGAAAAGTGATCATCAATCTGTGCAGTCAGGCCTCTAAGCCAAATTTCTGACCTGCATATGTGGGTAACAAGCATGGCTTCACCTCTGAATCTCTCTGTATCCAAAGTCAGGATTTTGAAAATTTATCTCTCCACAGGAACTCCGGTCCTGAATTTCAGTCTGCCTGACCTGTCTTACAGTTTTGGTGTATATCTGTCTAAATTATTCCTGTGGGGAAGGGAACCCTCTAGTGCTATTAAGGCACTAAGAGCAACTTGTGTTCTTTAAGAACTTGTGTCTTTGAAGACTTAATAATTGTTCTGCCTAGTTCCCTTGCCTGCTTCTGATTATCTGTCGAGCCTGAATGCCTCCAGAGGCAGGGGAAGACTGAAGAGCTTTCTCTGACAAGGGAGACCCAGTGTCCTGGATCACATACGTAATGCATTGTAACAGAAAACAATTGCTTTCCAGTGTCAGCTTTATTTTAAACATCAAATAATAGAAAGAAGAGGGTGCAAAAGCTCCCTAAACATATCAGTGGAAGTCACTGGCTCAGTTTTTTGCCTCCTCCCTTATCAGTCTCCTAGAGAAGACTTTATCTCATAGGAAATGTAATATTATCTTCTGGATGGAGTTGGTAACTGGTTTACTACTTTTTATCATGAATATGCTGAGTGGATCAGAAGAGAGAAGATATTTGAATGAAGCAGGAAGAAAACAAAAAGCAAACAATTATTAATTTACCACTGCTGAGTATTTTTTCAAGTCTTAATTTAAGTCTAGTTTAAATGAGAAAGCTTGACACTGTGCATCAAGTATTCTCTTAAAAATATTCCAAGCTCAACCTGTATGTATCTATGGAGAACTTCCATTGATTGGTTTTTTGCATGAAAACCTTTCATATTAGATGCATGTTATTTAAAAGCACCAAGTTGAAAGATAAAGAGAGAAAAGACCTCTTTCTATAAAACAGCAATCATCTTATCTGCCAAAATCACATGTAATGGACCATTAGTTCTTTGTTCCATATCCTGTGTTTGAAATGTCTTACCTTATAAAGATGTCAGGACTAAAACCATTATAAGGAATTTCCTCCAAGAAACACATCCATTTGTGGAGAAATGTGTATTTTATGCACGGTAACTTATACATATGGCCTGCCATTTATGAAAAATTATAAATAATACTCTGTGCTGATGCTTCATTTTTGTGTTGTTATTTTCCAGATGGGAGTTTCTGTGGTGGATTCATCTGTTGCAGGACTTGGTGGTTGTCCCTATGCAAAAGGTGCTACTGGAAATGTAGCCACAGAGGATGTGATATACATGCTGAATGGTCTGGGGATCAACACAGTAAGATATTTTTTCTTTCCAGTTAAGACTTAAGGGAAAAAAATAAATTCTAGGAAACATACAATACGTACCTCACAACAACTTGTGCTGTACAACAAAATATTCAGAGCCCATAGAAGTTTTTGCAAACTCAGTGCTTTAATATGGCTTGACACATAACAGGAATGATGTTGTCTTCATTAGCAATTTAGACTAGAAATAGTTTGTGTATTTAACATAATTTTAATAATCTACTTCTTCCTACCTGGAGCTATGAGGAATTTAGTAGCATCTGCTTTGTGTCATTGCTCTGTCTCAGTAACCACAAAAAACTCAGTACTGTAGACATTGCTACAGAAGGCTGATCATCTCAACAGTGGAAAGACTGAGCAGAGCTCAGCTCTTGTCACAGATTTGGATTTGGCTCATAGTGCTTATTAATTTGTTGTCAATTTTTCTGACTTCAAAGTTGAAAAAAATTGTGACGTTTGGCACCCAGGCACAGGACATTGTTATTTCTCGTGTATCCACTTAATGTATTTCAAAATTGTACAGAACCTGTTACTGGCTAGGAGTCATTTTTATTACCAGTCCTGTTGTTGGAGGAGAGGGCAGAGCAGCTCACATACCCTGAGCCGCACTTTAATGAACCTTACCAGGGAGCATCCACACCTCAAGAGCACTCATTTAGTATCCCTGGCTGGCTGGCATGTTAATTATTCTGTATTCCTAGAACTCATTTACTTCCTTCTTCAATAAATGTGCTCTTTGGTCTTCCTGTCTGTCCCCATTTATCTGGATGTGTGGCATAATGAGTTCGTGCTAGCTCAGGCATTGCTGTAACTTTATGTTTAATTTACACATGGACATGGAGAGTCAAGTTCAAAGGAGAACATATAAAGAACTGCCAAAACTACAAAGTGTGTGGTTTGCATTTAAATCACCACAGAAAGAAATCTAAATGCCTGATATCTGAAATAGGAAGATTTGCATTACTGAGGTCATTGGAACTTATCATTCACTTGTAGGTAGGCTTCAGTTCTGTGTGGTGTGCAGGCCAGTGGAGTCCCTTGACATGAAAGGATTACAGAACTTGGACATTCCCTGGGCACTGTTAAAGCATATTCAGTGCCTTACAGAGTTCACTGTAAGCATTTATCTGCTCTCATTTGCTTTTTAGGGAGTTCAGGGTAGATATCAGAAAATGTTCAATCACAAGTGTCCACTGCGCAAGTGGACTCTGTTTTGAACTGTTTGTACACACTTTGGGGTAGCTTTTCCTCATGAAAATGATGTTTATTCTTTTGAAACAACACAATTATTTGAAATAAAGAGGAGAAATCATGCATTTCACTTTACATTGCTGTGCACCTCAGACTCATGCTTTCAGTATAGTCTTTCCTTGGGCAAAATACTCATTGACCTTTCCAAGTGACTCATAGCAAAAGGAAGCAATTAAGCAAAAATAGTTGGATTATATGAAATATACCATGTACCAGGCTTCTTGATAAGATTGATTAATCTGTTAACAATCTGGTGGCCAAGCAAGATTACAGCTTGTCCTAAACGTTGATAAGAAATCCCACGGAGACAATCTCACCATCAAACGCTTATTTCTTCTTTTGTTTGGTTTGGTGGTTGTTTTATTTAGGTTTTGTTTAATTTTAAATTTAGATTATAGCAATAGCAAAACACAAGTCTTCACTTTTTGAATCCTTTTTCATGCTTTTTGCATGAAGTTTTGTAGTGTTGAATGATAAATAAGTATAGCATATATTTAGACTCTGTATTTTTCTTCTAATTTCTAGTAGTAATTCCAGCTCCTTATTCCAGATTATTCTGGGGTTGAAGGTTATTACTCCAGTATTTGGTCCACTGCTGATGGGACAAGAAATCACTCTCAAAGTAGTAGAACCTTCCAAACAACTAGAAGTTGTAACTACCTGTAAATCACTGTAGCTTTACTGATCCCCCTCACTGACCTATAACATGAATCAGCCCCTTTGTTTGCAAAAATTACACCCTGGAGCAAAAAACCTGGAGTCTAAGCATTTTCAACATGTGCATTTATTATTCTTCACATTTTTCCCCTCTTTTTTAGGGAGTAAATCTTTGTGCCGTGATGGAAGCTGGAAACTTCATCTGCACAGCTTTGAACAAGAAAACAAACTCAAAGGTTGCACAAGCTTCCTTCAGTACTGGAACTATCAATTAAATGGATTTTTCTTTTTGCAGCTTGATTACATTTTCCATTTACCTTGACCAAGGACATTTGCTTTAGGAAAAGAAACAAGGAAACCATTGCATCAAAGAAACAAAATAGAACCTATGTATAATTTTTATTTAATGGGAACAGTTATTGTACTGTACTGTCTTGTCAGGAACTCTCTGATTTGTAAGTAAGAAATAAACGACTGTAGTACAGAACCCTGTACTTTGCACTTCTACAGACGAGAGAAATACATAAATATCAGGAAATTTTACCATGTTTTAAATTGAATTTTTAGTTCTTTTCAGGAAAACCAGGTAGAAACAGTGAGTACATAGTTAAATTTTAATCAAGATGTCTTTCAGAACAGTACAAATATTTTCAGTAGTTTATGAGATCTCACACTGTGTGTGGCCATTCTATTGTGTATTTTATTTATCTGAATTCTTGCTTTTCATTTGTCAAGTCACTGTGTTATGAACACAGAGCCAAATCCGAATTCACTGTAAGAATTTTTTTAGCAATAGAACTTCTTTTAAATTTTGTTTAACATCTGCTAAATTATGGATGACTTTATCTTGTTCCAAGACATTGTGGTGAGTGGCACTCTGCCAGCTCCTTCCAATCCTCCAGCAAATTTCCTTATTTGTTACATATGTTAAATTTGTTGTATTTGCATTTTTTGATCAACTTATTAAAACCTAATTATATGAAGCAAATAAAAATTGGCAAGGTTTTCAACATCATTCAGGTTCATAGTGGTGTAGAAGGGGCTACATTTTCATCCAAGGTTTCATAAAAAATTAGATTTTTCATGCTGTAGGCTACAAATTGATATTCTCATTAAGAAATCACAGGTTTTTTAGGATAGTATTATTTTTCTGGACTAGCTTACACAAAGGAGATTACAATTTTTTTTTGTGCTCTACTGAAAATGATACTGTTCTTTTAAATGCCTTAGTTCAACAAGATGCCAATGAACTGCACTGTTCAATAATCAATAGATTAGATCAATAATGAATAAATGGACAAATTCAAAAAGCCTTATCCTATATATAAATGTTCAAGTGTACCATGAAAATACTGTCATGTTTTTCATCCTGAAACTTCAGTACTCTTACTGGTTGGTTGTGTAGAACTTGTCTGTACTTCTCTGTGTACTTAACTTTGATCTATATTTTTTCTGAACATGTCCTGTTGACATGAAAATCTAAAACCCTGGACTGTGGTCTTCATCCATATTCTCAATTTTCCTCAAAAATGTGAAGTCTTGTCAAAAGGTAAGTTGAAAGAAAGTGGAAGATAACACACAAAAAAAGAAAAGGCTGAAATTTTTTTGTCTGGAAGTCAAGTCTGCCAAGTTACAGCTGAGTCATGGTTTGCCTTTGAAATACCAAAGTGAATTTTTCTGAGATCTTTTAGCCAGTTGTGTACTTTAGAATTGGCATTGTTTAAGAAAGTTAGTCTTTGCATTCCAGCAACACAAAGCTATAAATTTGATATAACACCCCTATTCTGTTTAAGCCATAATGATAGTCAAAATTAATATAAGCTACTTTGTTTCACTCTTCTCATGGTAAAAGTCGAAGGATAAAAACAGAAAGGTGTTCAGGTGAGGCAAGAAATATCTTGCCTATCATTCCAAAATACTAAGTCTTCCCTGCAGAGTCTAGTAAGAAGACTTTGAAGTACTCCTAAAGGTAAGAACACCCTGATTTTCTTGACCTGCCCTGGATGCATGATTGGATCACCACAAAAAAGCTGTTTCCTCTTTTTTCCCATGTTTCAGCTGGGGCTTTGCTATTTAGCAGCCACTATAGCTCATATACCAAAACATGAACTTAAATAAAACCAGGTCTTGAACCATTCACAGACTTAAAAATTCTGTAATGAATTTGACCAAATGAAGAGGTAAGGAAACTGCAGCAGTGCAGTTAAGCCTAAACATGGTGACAGAATTGACGTCTTAAAAACTCCCTAATTTGTGTGTCATTTACCCCTGAAGGTGACTAACCTCACTGTAATACTTTCCTATTTAATAATAATTTTTCCTGTTTAGTTTTCTTTGTAGGCATAGATTTGGCTCATTTTGAGCTGAAGTATGCAGTTTTCATGTAGGTCCTGATGAACTTTCTTCCACCCAAGACCCTCTGAGCCAGCATGTTTAATTAACACAAAAAATATCGAGCTTCTCAAAGACTGAAAGTGAAGTCAGCCCTTGAAAACAAAGCAGTTGTGATGCAAACCTGAATGTGAGACTAAACAACTGAACTGAGACTGAACTTGCTGCTCAGCCTGGGGAGATTAATACACACCTGTGACAGGAGCTGAGGGAATGGCCTGAAGCTGTGCCAGGGGAGGCATAGGTTGGATATTAGAAAAATGTTCTTTACCCAGAGGGTGGTTGGGCACTGGGCAGTGGTTACAGCACAGCCTGACAGAGTTCAGGAAGTGTTTGGAAATGCCCTCAGGCACAGGGTGTGACTCCTGGGGATGGTGCTGTGCAGGGCCCAGAGCTGGACTTGATGATCCTTGTGGACCCCTTCCAAATCAGCTTTTCCTGTGATTATGAACTGAAAAAGAACACACTTTCTTGTAAATCTGTAATAATTTGTGCCACTGGGTAGAATAGAAAATTAAAAATTCCTAAGCCCAGAAAAATCCCAAGAAAAGAATGTCAGTGCCTCTGCAAGGCAGGGTTCTTTTTCTTGAAGGTGGTGGTGAAGTCTTCAATTATCAGCCAAGTAAGGAACTGAACAGGTAGTGTCCATTTTTATGCCTCTGTGCACAGTGCATCCTAGGCTTCTCAGCATCTGGACTGTCTGGTTTGCAGACAGTTGGCTCTTGATTCAAGGCTCTTGATTCTCCCCATGCAGTGAAACAGGGTACCTATTAAATCATGTAGATGAACAACCTAAAATGTCTCAGTTCTTTATTGGGTGGGTCTGTTTTAGAAACTACTTGGAAACTTGTGGAGAGCCTTAATTGCAGGTCTGTTATTCTGTAATGATGTGAGCATTGGAAAAGATGAGCAGTCACATCTGGAGCCTGTACTTTACCCACATGTTCAGCTTCAACCACATTGTGAGTTATTGTAATCCAGGGTGGAGGTCACAGACAAATAGATTGTTTGTCAGGATTGTTATGAAAGAGAGAAACATAGAGCCAGAACAAAAAAAAGCAACCCCAACCCAGTGTTTATGTGCCAAAATTGTCACCTGGGATGAATTTAGGTCGGTGGCTCCAGGTGATTGGTCCCTATGAAATCCTTGTTTAGTTGTAATATGACTGAGAATCTTGAGACATCTTATTTCTGCCTACTAACATATTTTAGGTTTGTAAAATGCTGCTGCTCTGATTTCCTGGGTTGGCATAATTTTGACTTTGCAGAACATTTTGACACCTAATGTCTGGCTTCAAAAAATAAGCATCTATTACTTTTAATAGCAAAGACTAATCTAATAGCCATGCCATGAGCGTGCGTCACTCACATAGGCAGCACTGAATTCAGCTCATAGGACAACAGCTGAGACTATGTCGCTTGAAAAACATTACAAGACATGGGATGAGGCTCTCCAGTGCTCCTGACCCCTAAACCTTTATGCTTATATTCAGAAGTACCTATATTATATATCTGCTTATATTCAGGAGAATCTATATGCTTATATTCACTAGTGATGTCTGCTCTTTTAGTCCCTATCACTGTCCCCAACTGAATACAATGCTGTCACTTCACCATGAAGTAGCCCCCTGGCTGTGGAGGGCTTGCATCCAGGAGTTTGGCTTCCATGAGCAGGTGTTCTTATCACTGTGTCATTATAAAAATTTAAGCCAAGATATTACATTGTTGAAGGTATGACTGGTGTCCTTTGTTGGAGGAAAAGTTGATCAGTTCCAGTAGTATGGGCATAATCATTCTTCAGTGCCTTCCAGAACACAGCAACAACATAGATCCCGTACAGTTCTAATGTCTTCCAGCAGCAGCTTGCTTTGTAGTTTCAACTTTTATGTATTAGGGCAACTTGGCTCTGGACCAACACTTTAATGGCTCATTTTTGTGTATAACCAGAGCTTATGAAATAAGAACTAAATATTGTAGTGTTGTGAATAAGTCCAGAGACGCTTTGGCTAATTTTCCTCTCTTAATAGTGTCATTTGAGTTCATAAAACTTTTATTATTGTATTAAGGAGTCACAAAATGAAGACTACAAGTCTGTGAGATAAAATTCTTATGTTTGGGATCAGTGTTGTTGAAATGAAATAATGCTTATCCAAAGAGTTAGTGTGAATGTATAAGATCTGCCCATTTTTTCCACTGAGTTTAAGGGGTAGAAATATTGTTTAGTTACTGTGGTATCAGAAATTCGATACTTTTTGCCACTGAATTTTTCTGTGTTTTCTGACACTGCCTTCAGTTCTCTTCACTGATTGTGAAGTATCTAGATGAGTGGCTAAACAGGTATAAGAGTGGCAAGTAAACAAATTCCAGTTCTTGACTTGCTGATCAAAATTAATCAGCTTTTATTTAGTTATATTTTTGAAGATTATTTTTCTCTACAGTCCTGCTGTAATGCAGTGTTGATCTTCATTGCTGCAATAACACATCAGGCAGAAGGACTACAGCCAAAGTCAACTCAGTCCTTTGAAAGCAATGTCGAAGAGACGATATGTTTGTCAAGGAATTGTCATGTATCTGCCTGGTTAAATGCATTTGTGATTTTGCAATATGTGGTGCTACAGCTGAAATAAAATCTCCCTTGCTGTTTATTGAAACTGATATGCTCATGTTTTATGCCAGATTCAGCAGCTCTGACGGACCAGCTCATGCATACAGCATTAGCAAATATAAGCTGTCACTGACATGGATGCCTGTGTTGACTTTGTTACCTTGTAATACATTTTGAGTGCTTTTTCTTAGGATTACCTTTTAATCTGGCGTTCCTGTGTGTTTTTATAGCAGACAAATCTCTTTTAAGTTACTGGGGAAACATTTCCTTCCTCCATTAACTAAACATTAAAAGCTACAGGCAGGAATGGAGGTAGGAGTTCAAAAAACTCAATGAGGCATTATCTAACTTCAGATGTTCCAATGCAGGATAGAAATCTGTGCTGTCTAAGTGATGTCTAAGATTCCCTACGCACTTCATGGGAGACTGAATGACTTCAGTATGTTGTCTGAAACATCAAAATGCTGAGGAGGGAACTTTCTTGGCCAAATCAACAGCAAAATTCCCTACCCCATGCTACTCTTGAAGTGCCTCAACATGACCTGCAGTTAGTTATCTTCACTAGTTGAACACAAGGGTTAGTATTTTCCTTGGTGGAAAGACAATCACAGTCATTTTTAAAAAGAGCTGAATGGTGTTCTCTGTTTTATGGCATGTCTTCTGGTGTTGGTGCTGCTTCCACCCATCTCTCTGTTCCTAGCTTGGTCTGATATCTAGCTCAGGGCAGCGGGATGTGATCCCCACAACAGCCTCAAAAGGCTGAGCCTCTGCCTATCCAAGTATCTCATTCTTTTCACCACACAAGCAGGTGAGACAGCCAGGGAAAAATGTTCATTTTGAAGAAATCAAGACCCACTGTGGCATGACAAAAGTAGAAACTTGGGCTTTACAGCTTCACACTACACAAGGAAGAGCTAGTCCTGTGTACTTGTCCCAAAAATCTTCACACATTTAATTTGAAACAATTGTTAAATAAAATGCATAAACAATCTTCAAAGAAAATACTGGAACCCAACATTCTCCCTTTCAGATGAGAGTGCTGTAAGGCAAAAATTCATGGTTTCTCCCTCTAGCCCAATCAGTCCTCATTTCTTCCCTTTGTGATGTCCCAGTTCCAGTGGAAAGAGGATGAATGCTACAAAATGACGTGTCCTGGGAATCTTGTCATCAAGAGACTTAACTTTCCTCATCTGGGAATTGGATGCAGGTGTCATACTTAGAGGAAAATATTTTAATAATGAAGCTCTTACAAAATACTGCTTTTTCTTCCATCATGGTCAGACTCAAAGGTCTTAAAGATCTTTTTCAAACAAACTGATTCTATGATTCTCTGTTCAGAAAACTGTGAAGCAGTTAGAGTATAATCAGGATCACAGGAATACAGATCATCCCAGCAGAAATTCTTTTATTTAACAACTAATACCTAGATACAATTGACAGACTACTTTGTACACATGGAGTGGAGGGAATGTACTTTTCCCACTAAGCATCTTAAGTCATCTCTTAAGAGAGACCCTGTGAAATTGGAGAAGAACACAAGAGCCACTAAATATCTTGTTGTCTCTCAGAGTAGCATACCCTCAGTTTCAAATGCATTTTACATACTTGTTTGTGACTCTGTGTGTGCATCTAAACACATCTTTGACTTGGGTTTCTAGTGTCTAAATATAAGATAATTAGAAAAAAAAGTTTCTAAGACAGAAGGTAATTTTTTTGTTGTTGTTGATTGAGGTTAAGTGAAATTTGAATTTAAATGTATCTCCACAAGTTTTGTGAATGGAAGATTCACTGGTTTTTGAAGTCAGACTGAAAACCAGCACAGGTTTCATGTCAAAAGTACATTTCCTGTGTAATGAAATGTTTTTTTCCAAGATATTCTCAACACTATTTTCAGTTTGAAATTTTCCCACTTCACAGTTTTAAAATGAAGAATATGAATATAGCACTTTGGTGAGAGTTAGGCCAGATGCTGCAAATTTCTGGACTGCTAAAGCAGATCTTTTTGATTAACAAATGAACTTCACTTCTCTGTTTCTGTAGTTTTGTCCAAATGCTGATTTTGTAATGACAGAACATTTGATTGCAAAACAAAAAGGACTTTCTTTGGTTTACGCAGATAACAGAGACAGAGCAATTCCACATTGTAATAATTGTGTAAGATTTCTAAGCCTCTCCCCAACAGAACGGCACACTTAAGATTTTGCTCCACAGTAATAACTTTGCAAGTTACCAAAGCCAGAAGCAAGAGTCACATAGAAGAGTAGAGACTCTTGCTTTTCTGATCACATTATTTCTAGTCCTAGATCTGTCATCTAGCACTAGATGTGGCCCTAGACCATTGGTCTCATGGTCAAAACTGGAGGTGAGTTACATTTAGTGACAATTCAAACAAAATTAAAACTAATCACATTCAAAATGAAGTTAATTAATCAAATGCCATTATAACAAGGCAACACCTGTGCTATTCATGGTAATAGCTGAATAAGAAACAGCAGTCCATTCTTTTGTGCTCACCAGGACTAGATTGTCACGAAGATTTAACAAAGACAACTCACTGGTAGTAAATAGAAGCTGAAATCTAGCCAAACAACGCAGCTATAGAGAGAAATCCAGAGCTCCTAGGCACAAGGTGGGATCCAGGATGGTGTTTGGGACCATGGCTCCCAGAACAGTGCAAGGGGACAATCAGGCACTTCGTGTCTGGCCTAGGGACAATGAATAGGAAACACAGATGGTGAGATGGGTCACAGCTTCTCTCTTGAGAAGCAGGCACTGCAGCCCCAAGCAAGTGACTTTCTCCACTGGGCATTCAGACCAAAAATTTCTCTCTAAAGTTATTGTATTTAAAGTGACGAACCCCACTCATTTCTTTTAGAAGCATATTGGAGGAGAAATTAAAAACATTTTCAGCAACAATATTTTGGAGTCAAAGCATTATTCCAGAGAGTCATTTTAGTTCTTTAGGGGGTTGTAATCCTGATCTCCTCCTACCCTGCAAGTGCTCCACCATTAAACTACAGGCAGCTTTGCTGTGACTGCTGCTTCAGGTACTTGGTACCTGGGAGCCAGGTATACAAAACTGCCACAAATGTGCTCTTTATCAGGTCTCTAAAATGTTTCTGAGTGGATTTTTTTAAATTTCTTCCAAGTGAGTAGAGATCAGAAAGGGTGGGCTTCAAAGATTGCCATTGTTGATACAGCATTTATACCAGTGTCATGTGTATCTAAAAATCTAGGAAATGTACAGCTCAGGACAGATCTGTGGATCTACACAAATAAGAGACAGCACAGTTTTACCATTTTTACCCCTTTTTTCAGCTTTTGAAAGGCTAAAAATAAGCTAATAAATATAAAAAATATTTTGTATGCCTAATTACAAAAATTCATAATTTATAGTAGTTTTTCTAATATATATTTTATTATCACATGTGTACAACAGGCTGGCTTTCAGGAATAGCCTTAAAAAGCACAAGCAAGAGAGTAGTTCATCTGTGACTTTTATAATGGGCCATAAATGTTTCAGAAGAATGGTCTGGCGAGAGACGTCTTGACTCATGTTTTGTTCTGCAGGCTCTGAAAACAAAGAATGTGCATGTATTTAACAATAAACTACACAGCTTTTGGTTTGAACTTTGGCTTAATTGAAATCAGTGGCAAATTTCTCCTCTTTTTATGATGAACACTGTGGTATAAAATAATCCCCTTCATTGTTATGAATGCATTGTTCTTTCTTCCATTTTCTGTATTCTTTAAATCTGAATTTTCTTTATATGCTGATATTTCTGTAACTGCAAACCTAAAGAGAAAGCCTCTGTTCCCATATATCCTTGAGTTGCCTCTTGCATTTTTCTACAATTCCTCTTTGATCTGCCTGGGAACTTAATAATGAAATTTGACTCAATATCCCTCCCACTACATATAGCTCCTGCTACATCATGTTCTGTTACCTATCATCTGACAGTGTAATTCTTGAAATCTGGCCATTTAATTTGGTCCAAGAAAATGTATCATTTAAGAAAAGGCCATGTTCATTTAACTAAGTGAATGCACATTTCTGTTTTCTTACCAAGCATTGGTGTATGGGCAGTTTCTCGTACAGAGGGAGGGAGGGAGGGAGGGAGGGAGAGAGGGGGGAAAAGAAAAGGATGGCAGGGATGGTGGGTGTTGTTTAGACTCCTATGAGCAAAAATGGCATTTGGCAAGAATCTTAACTACAATAGCAGCATTCAAGATTTGGTTTCAAAATATGTTATAATGCTGAATATTCTCATTTCCTTTTTGCATTACCCCTGCCTGCTATGGGGCTAGGAAGGTAGTCTCACAGAATTTTTGAATTCAGATTTCACCTTCCCCTGCCATGGGACAGGAAATGAAACCTCCCAAAGCCTGGAATCTCTGCATGAATGGAGGGCATTGTAGATACATCTCGTATTTCATCCTTCCCTGCTGACACCCACAATGTCAGTTCTTTCCATCACTGGGGCATGCTGGACTGTTTCTAAAGACAATCACAATGCCCACCTTTTAACTAAGTCAAAACATTTTATTTTCTGTTTTTTCAATTTCCTAGAACCAGTGATTAATATCCCTATCAAATTACCTGATCTTTAGGAGAGTCAACAGGACTATTCCTAGGATGAGAGCTATGCAGGAGGAGTAAGCAATAATGTAGACAGTTTCACCTAAAAATAAAAACATAAATCAGAAATGAAACATCTGCTTGTTTAGTAATAAGAATCAGATTTGATATCTGTATTGGAAACCATACATATGTGAGCCAAATTAGCTATCAATTTTGACAAAAGTAATTAAAAGGAGGGAAAAGATCTAGATGTATGTCAGTGGTAGAAATAATTCTACCTTTGCCATTTGATCCAATGCAATTTTCAGACTTCTTTTAGTAAAAACCAGCTCCAATATCACTTCATATGTATAGCATTACCTTTCACTCTGCTGCAGGGGAACAACTTGTTACTATGATTTTTATTTTGGAATATTCTCCCTTTTGATTTTTAAAATCTTAATGTTATTCTGTGCATCAGAGCAGAATTGGCTCTTACTTATCAACTAGACTTATTTTTCTTTTCCACATATTACTGTAATTACAGTGTGGAGCAATGCTCCACCTAGAATCAAATTAACATCAAATGGGATCTTACACTGTTTTTCTGGGCCCCATTCCTGTAAAGTTTCCTTTTTCTGTTAGGCTTCTCACCAAGAAGTCACTTTGGTGGCTTATGTGCTAAAAATTCCAACTGTTGAAAAACTGGGAGCTGTTACAAATTTTATTTTCCGAAGGAGGAGTAGCTCTTTTTTTCCCTGATGTAATGAATCCATTGGTTTTGATCAAATATGTGAAAGGAACATTTCAGTTGGGAGTGCAATATAAGCCCTGGACACAGGATGGAGAGGTGTGACAAGTGGCCACAAATGCAGAGCCACAAGCATAAAGGATGAGACCTTTCTGTGACTTTCCTGTTTCACTGATTCTGTTGGCTTTGTGCACTCAGGTAGGTTTTGTTTATAGAGGAATTCAAACACAGAGGGCCCTGGCTGCTCCCGAGCTTCTCCATCCTATTAGCCAGTGAAACATTCCCTAAGGAAGGGATGGATCCCTGGGCTCAGCACTGAGCCACCTCTCTGGGCTGTGAGAAGGCCATATTCTGGTCTCTGAATAAGTTATCAGTTATTATGTGCTCCATGTGTTATGTATATGCACACAAAACCTAAATGAGGCATTTCTGTGTGCACTGCAGACAGGCAGCAGGGGTAGTGTGTCATATAATCCAAGCACAGGTGGGGTGGATGCTGCAGCAGCCCTGGCAGCAGACAGTGAATATGTTTTCCACAGCAAGGAAAACAAGGAGCTGAGCAGGGTGTTGGGCCTGCCTGGCTCTCATTGTAGGACTGTGCTCACTTTTTCTCAAAAAACTACCCCACATTCAAGTTTTCCAGTGTAAGAAAATGAAAGTAGTGATCAAACCACAATTTGCACAAATGGAGTGAACATTCCATTTAATCCAGTAACCTACTGGAAGATACTTAAGATGGTGAATTTTTGAAGAAAGAGGTCTGTCTGAGGTCTGTCTTAGAGAAGGACTGCTAATAACATATATCAAAAACTACAACCAGTTTACCTAGCTCTCAAGTCACAGAATTTCTTTAAGATGATGGGTTTTAGCAAAAGAGTAATTTGTAGGCATTTTTTTCAGTTTGAGTCTGAATTCTACATGCAGCTATTTTTGAAAACTTTTTACAAGTGTAGGAGCAGTTGTAGGGGCAACAGTTTCTTACTTTTTTGAAGTGGAAAGTGACTTTCACACATATTTTAGGCAAATGGAAACTTTTAAAATATGTCACCACAAAAATTATTATATCTAACATTATATATTGTACAGTCATGGATGCTTAAAAATAGGCTAAAAAATTTTCAACAGAACATTGTAATCTTTTTCTTATAAAATTTGTAAAGGTGCTTCATTTCAATCAAAACACTGAAGTGACCAACTGAATTTTTTTCTATTTTCTTGACAAAATCTGAAAAAATGCTACATTTTTGATGAATTGGTGGTAAAAGAGATGTTGATTCTGTTCTATCAGGAACAAAGAGGGATTTTGGTGAATCTTACGCTATTGTGGATCTACCTGCTTAGGTATGGCTAGTGCATATTCATCAAACAGATTAATCCCAGCCTCTGCTCAGAGGTTTCTTGGCTACCTGTCACAGGCTTTTTTCTACATTTATAAAACTGTCAGACTGACAATGTTTGATACCTTACACATTAAAGTCACTGGAGCTGAACTAATCTCTCATCCCACAGCAGCTGATATACTTACAGATAAACCCTGCCAATTACCTGTTTATCTAAACACTCTACTCCTTGGTAGGAAATATATGATAACGCTACAATTTACGATGAAATTTCAAAAATTTTGGATCAAGTCCAATTATATTGTATTGCACAAGAGCAGGGTAAGTGTTCTGTATTTCTAGTTTCCTCTTCCATAAACAACCCACAACTTAGCCTCAAAGCTCCATGGTGATGAAAATAAATCCTTATCTTCCCCCCTGAAACACTTTTCAACCAATGTGCAGGAAGCAATCTTCTAAATTATTTGGGTCTGTAAAGTCATTGATATCATTTGCATAGGATAAAGCCAAAGCCAGGCTGAAGATGCATAATTAGGAAAGCATATTAGGAGTTTAGAGAAATCTTATTTGATTTATAACATTTTGATATTATTTTCAAAATAAGATCAAATTCATGCTTGCAGGAAAAGTCTCATTAACTTTCTTATGGTTCTGACTCTGCCCACATCACATTTTGTTAAAAGAGTTGTATCAGCCCAAAGATGACTCTGTTGGCCTGTTCCCTCCTGAGAATGTGAATGTGTTTAAATCCAGTCCAGATTTTCACAAAATCCTGGCATCACATTTTTTACACCAAACCTGGAATAATAATTTTTCAACTTCCATGGTTCTATTTATTTACAAATATATTTGAATTTAGGTATATATGCTTAGATTTATTACTTATTGTGAAAGACTCCTTCTAATAAAGCAATTTTATCCAATGGGATGATTTGCAATGCTGCTGAATAAAACAGAGAAATTGAACGGTTTTTTTGAACAGTAAGCTATATTTTTAAGTATAAACCTAAAAAGAAAAAGCTGAAGACATGCTGAGTTTCTTCTGAGCATGTTCATCTGTAGATGGCCATTCATTTCATCTGGTGAAAGAGTTCCTTGTATCTTTCAGTGACAAACTAAGTAAAGGATTCTTCTGAGATTTTAATGTAGAGACATCAGCAGATTTTATCTCATGTTTTTTGAGCAGAAAATAGCCAAGAAGCAAATGCCTTCAAAAGTCTTCACACATGTGAAAGGCCATACTTGACAACTTAACTGTTTTGCCTCTGTGCCTTGAATTCTTTTTGGGATTTGATTTCAGTAAAGATAAATATTTTGTAAAGATGATAATTCCCTTTGCAGCCTGAGTAATGCACATTTATTAGCATTTGAATCTAGGACACTGAGTTAGATTTTTGGCAGTGGGATTTATGAAACAATTTGCAGTATGGTTTTTACCATCAGGCAGATTTCCTGAATCAAATTCTTCTTCTTGACCTGACTTCCTATGAGACTTTCATGGCTTAAAGTTCCCATCTCATGTACATGACAGCTACAATAGAAAGAATATTTTATTGTATGGTTTAGGCTGCTCAGCATTCTTTTTATTTTCCTAAAGCTATCCAAAATTCTGTTAAGACTTCAAGGAATGGTTTTTGGAAAATATTCAGACTTCAATGTGAAAAGAATTAACTGGGTGCAGGCTGCTTCTTGCAAATATTTATCTGAATCTCCAAGTGAAATGTAAAATGCATTTTACCCACTGAAAGGGTCTGCAGTTAGAACTAGTCACAGGGGTGCAATATCTCACATTTTCATTTTCTCACTTAGTGCAGTATTTCTTTTATTATGACTTGCATTATTTAACCTCTAGAGTCTTGTTCCAACTAGGGATTCAGGCTCCCTCAGCAATTGGCAAGGAGAAGTCAATATTCAGCAAATGCAGTCCCAACAAGATTGGACTACTCTTCCTTTGAAGAGTAGGATCCCTTTGAGGGTCTCTGACTTTCTTCTCTGGCTACACAGAGCACTTGGATGACATGCATGATTCTTAAGGAATTTTAATGCTAACAGCCAAATGCTTAATTATGCACACACAGGTCTCAGGAATCCCATTCCCTTAATCCATTTTTATATCCTTATTATCCCTTATCCAGGTTGCCTACTTCAGCAATAGTTGAAGGATGGAGAGGTTAGAAGTCACTTCATTTTCTACTGCATGCAGATATTGAATTATTTTTTTCACAGTCAGAAGTGTTCTGTAGGAACAGTTCTGGGAACTAATTTGTATTATTAGTCTGGATAATTGTAATCTGTCCTGCACAAGGTAGAACAGGTCATTCTCATTAGAGGTGATATTTGTGCATTAAGCTCTTTATAGTTCTCACTCTGTAATTGGGCCCCTCAAAAGGAAATATAAAATAATATTATTTCAGCAATGAAAACATTTGTATATTAATTCAATATCCTTTAGCTTTATGTTGCCTAATTTCTTATTGTAAATGCATGGAAAGAAAAGCAGCAGTTCTAATAAAAGAAATAAAAGGAAATAAAAGTTGCAGCTCCTCAGCCCAAGGGGTACTGTGTGCCCTTCTGCTGTGTAAGAAGGTGGAGTCTGATGGAGGGTAACACAAGCCCCTTCTCAGACCACTTACTGTGGCTTCTAATTTTGTTGCTGTAACTACTACAGAAAGTCAAGAGAGATAGAAGTAGGTGTGACATCAAAGATAATAATTTGTGTTACACATTATGACTACTACTCTCTAATGACTATACAGAGAGTCAGGCTCTGGCAGGCTTAATAGCTTAATTTTCCCCAATTATAATACAGTGATTGTGAGACATCTATTTCAAAACCATTTGTCAGGGTAATTGATTCAGTCTGATTAACTTTATTTTGTGGATATATAATCTAAGTCAAACAGGTAGGGAGATTTCCAGACCAAATGAAGGAACAGCAGGTCGAGCTCACTTGCCTGAACCCACCCAAGGAGAGCAGTGCTATGGAAGTCATGGGGTGACTTGCCCAAACTCACCATTAATTGCAGAGGAATGGAGCTGTGCTCCGGAAATCTTTTCCCCTGGCATCTCTGTATTTACCCAGTGAAAACCCTTCTTCTGAATAGAAATTTGACCTGGATATTGGAAAGAAAATATCCATTTAAAATATTATTTAAAAATTAATATAAGTGAATATTGTTTGATATTTTGCTAACTGCCACATAATTTAAAAAGGGACCTATTTAAAAATACTGTTTACTGATATTTGATGAACAAATTGAATGAGTGCATAATAGTTCTTCCTGTTCCATCTCAGTTTTTCTTATGGATGACAAGCATGCTTTGAAAATATCCTCTGCCACAAAAGAGCTTAAATTCTCTTTTCACATAAACTGTTTTAAAAATAGGCCCACCAAAAAATTGGGTCCACCAAACCAACACAGAAGTGGTGAGAAAGGGGTAGCAGTCTGAAGTAATTTCTACAAGGCAGAGCTGCGTTGTTAGACCTCAACAAATTTTTTCAGGAAGTCCTGTCCTCTCAGTGGGCATAATTTTATGAATATATCTGAAAATACATCTCTTTGGTTGAAATGAAAAATAGGAGGTATACTTACGTATTATAGTTTACAGAGTGGAAGGCTAAACCATACAAGTATACATCTGCTCACTCACAGGAACAACAAGATGAGAAATTTTTGTAATATCAGAAAGGCACACATTTTTAGCCTGGAACACTGTCCAAATAACAATGGACTAAACCTACCTGTTATTTGGGTTTTTTTCTGTGAGATCCAAAAGTACAGCCCAGACTTAAAGTATTTTGGAAACCTAAATTTTTTCTTTCCCTCACTGACATTTTTTCTTATTCCTGCTGAGACACTGATCTTACATTGGCAATGATCCACCCTGTGTTTCTGCTTCACACAGCAGCAGCCAGTCACAATTCTTGCCTTTTACTGAGTCTGCAGTCCTTTCACTGTGAGCACAGCCTTGAGAACAAGCACTTGGAGCAAAGGCAGTGCCATGCAAGGGTAGGAAGATGAGATGGTGCAAACATCACTCATGGACCAGTTCTAGAGGCAAAGATCCCCTTCTCAGACCCTGGGTATTTGCCTATCCAGAAATGTTTCAGAGTTACAGATCATTGCCATTGTAAGAGTGAAAGTCAGCCAAAGATCACCCCCAGGCCAGAGGAATAGAATAATTCAGCACATGGGGTTGGGTGGGCACTGTACAGTAGTCACTCCACATCTCTGTACTGCCATGCAGAGTATTAAAATGCAGAGCATTAAAAACATGCTTTGGAATAAAACCTATGATCATCACCACCATCAGTTTAGCTGCATCACCACCAGACATCTAGGACGAAGCAAAAAAAAGCAAAAATAACAATAAGCTGGAAGTGGTCTGTAGAGTAGGTACTGATCCACCAAAGGCTCTGGATCCCTACATTCTTTTCTGTTTAACTGCCAGGAAATTGTTGCACAACACAAGAAATATAAGTTTCCACTCTTCAGTCCCAATTAGGTTAGGGAAGTTTCAATCACAAAAACCCTCTAAACATTTTATCCTGAGACTGCTTCAGGGAATGGCAAAAGCTCGTCAGCAATTATTTGATTATTCACACATGAGGATCATTTTTTTGCTTTGTAGGTTAAGAAATAACTAACATGATGATGTGCTCACTCATTTGGACTGTTAAATTCAGCCCTAAAGCAAGCAAGTAAATAATATTCATCAGCAAAATCACTGCTAGAAGTCTCAAGTCTGAGTGTGTTATATTATCACTTTTCCAGGGGGGGTTGTTATGAGATTTTTAATATTTTCTCAGAGTCTGGATTTGAGTAATGATTAACTAAACTAAAAGCTATGTTTCAGCAACTTGATTTTAATTTTTGGGCAGCCTTTGAGGGACATGAAAACAAAAAATACATCCTTATCAGTGGTACCATTTTGGTTTCTAGACCTAAAAGAGCAGCTACTTCATTCAATGAAATGCATGCACAAAATTCATATATGTTTTCAGAACACTGTCCATCAGGTAAAACTATGAAAGAACCATTTCTTTTCATTGATATCTTTAGGTATCACTACTTCTTCCAAGTTAGTTTAGGAATATACTTAATTTTGGAGTATATATGTAGAAGATAGCTGGCACAGGGCATGATGCACCAGTGAGTAACATATCCTAAGAGGATTCATATTGCAAAATAGTTGGTGTGATGAGTCAGAGATTTAAGGAGAACAGAATACTTTGGCCTTTGTTCTGGTTGATGGACCAGATGTCTGCATGCAGCTGGAGCACTGCAGAGGCTGCAGATGAACCTTCAGGTTCAGTTTATACCACAGGAGGCCAGGATCCACCCTATGATAGAGAACCACCCTGTGATGTGACCCAGGACGCAATAAGTGGGGACAAAGAGGAGCTTTTCTTGGAAGGCACTTTGCAGATTCAGACTAACACATTAGTATTTGCTCTCATATTGCCATTTATTGCATTAACAATTCTCTAAATCAGAGGCCTGGCAAAGACATGTAAATTTGACAAAAATATTTAGCTAATTAAGCACATGAAATTCATTACTGGATCTGAGAAAGTAACTATAGTTCATCTCAATTACATCCAGTGTTTTTACTGAAGACCAAATCCTAAAGCCTCCTTTAAATAATTGAAGCTATGTTTTGTAGAATGAATTCTGTTGCTAAATATGTGTAAGGTTTACTAATATTCAGACTCCAAGAAGAAAAGAAAAAAACCCCAAATGCTACTTTGTATTATTTATAAACTTTATTTGTATTATTTGTAGACTTATCTAATCTGCATATTAATATATACTCTAGAAATTATTTCTTTATTTCAGAAAATTCAGGTAATGAGACATGGGGCCAATTTCATTTTTCCCAATACCAGAGGAAGAAAACTCTATGTTCTGTAGGGGGATAGAACATAGTAAATAAAGGTAGTATGTAATGTATCTAGGAACCTAATCTTACCCCCTAAAGAGTTGCAGCTGAGCCAATTACTAAAGATTAGGAGCAGGCCTGATGTTAACAGGCCACAGCTGTAGCCAATAAGAAGAGTGTTATAAAAGAGTGGAGTGGTTGGTTGAGGGGATCTGGAGTCATTTGGCTGCTGTGAGGACAAGGAAGAGTCAGTGCCTAGAGGAGATGCCTGCAAGAAACATCAGGGAGGTACGAAACTCTAGCAATATGGGACCCTTGCAATGTAATGACATTGGAGCTCTTGCACTATAATGGCAGCATGTTCAATTTTTGTTTTGATTTGTGTTTTTAAAAACCAAGAGCTGCAGATCTTGCTGAAACCAGTGGTAGCAAAGATTTGATGTAAATTAGGATCTTAATTCTCTTTAAAACTAATTGTTCTGTAAGTTGTAAGCGTTACTCACGCAAGTCCCTGAAGCAGGATTTGCTGTGCAGCATGTGGTGGAAGAGCTCACACAAAGGCTGCTCCATGGGAGGCACGTTTTGGCAGGTGCACTCTGTGAGCAGCATTGTGCCCCAGATGCTGACGAAGGCTGCTTTGCAATCAGTGGTGGCAGAACAGGGCACGTCATCCTTGAGCAAGGTTTCAAGACAAGCTTCATCATTATAACATTTTTTTGTCACATGTCTCCAACACTTTGACCGAAAAGTTGTGTATTTTTTCCTGGTGGGGGAAAAAAATAAAGAAAAACAAAAGAAGTGTACAATGGCACTTTAACAAATGTGACTTCATAAAAAGACATTTAATGAACACCACTAAAGAGAATGTATTTCCCAGGTACCACTTAAGCCTTAAAAATTGCAATATTCGCTGATAGCTGATATAAATTCTGCTCTGATTTTGAGAAAAAGCAGCAGCACTTCTAATCAGCACCTGCTTCCCAGAGTCCAGGAAACACAGTGTGAATTCCAACAGTCTCAGATACTCAGAGAAGAAATGTCAATACAGGAATTAGACCCATCATCCCAATGAAACCACACCATGTGCTGTTCTAATGGATCCATTTTTGAGCAGTGTGAAGGAAGACTAAACATTCAACTTATTTAGGATTAAATAATCTACATCCAATGTCAACCCCTTGGCCCCTCAAATGTTAACACAATATAAAATGTCAAAGGCTCAGGAAAAAGCACAGTGAACTTCACGATAAATTGATAGTAGAGATAAATTACAGGAAGAATTAACTTGTTACCCAGTTCAGTAATCTCAAATTATTTCCATTTATTTGCTGTTGGGGTGGAATAAAATTGGCTTTTTATGCACTCTATATGACAATAGAAAATATCCATTATAAATTAACTAAAAAATATGTAGATAATTGTTAAAAACAAATTTATAATATTAAACTTTAGGGGATGATAAACTTTAGGGGATGATAAAGGTACTACTATATAGTACCTTAAGCTATTAAAAGATTCTTCCTTAATCATATATGTTATAACATATAATAGCATATATGTTATTAATTTGTTATATATATTAATAACATATGTGTTATATATGTTAATCATTTGCTGTTGATATTGTGTAGTAGCCACAGGCATGTCACATGGAAAAGCATGGACTGTTGCAATACTGGGTAGAAAATTTTTGTAAATATTTTTATTACACAAGCAAGGATCTCAAAGCAGATGCCACCTCTGTTCTAATTGAATTATTTTCATTCACCTCCTGATTTATGGATGTGACTAGCTATAATTCACAGACTAATTTTGCTAATTATATGCATTTATTGTCAGTGCCAGGAACCATTAATGTTCCCAAAATGATGGAGAATTCAGCCATAATGACATTACATGTTTATACATGTACAGACATATGTTTATAGCCGTTTGGCTGTTCTCACTGACATCAATCTGAATAATCTGCACAAAACCAAAACCATCTCTTGGCCTCCTGGTTTATTGACTGAAGGTTAATTTCAGCACAGCTTTGAGGTAAAACTCAACTCTAACCCACAAGGTGACCACACTGAAAAACAAAGTGGGCCACTTGACTGTCCTTAAAAGGAGGCAATTAGGTAGAAATACAAATATAGGTAATCCTGTTGCATGTTTTAAAAATATAAAATGAAATGTTGAAAAGGCATTATCCTTCATGAGTCTGGTGGTCTGTCCATGTTTCAGGCCAGATTTTTGAAAGCTTTTTGCAAGTATCCTTGAGATGAAGAGAATAAGATAAAAGATTTTTGAACAGGCCAAGCTGGTTGCATGGCTGTTGGGTACAAAGGGTCACACTCTGCCCTTGAAAGGTAATTACTTTTACCAAACAAACTTTGTCTGGTCTGCTGCACAACTTGGGCAAACTGCTGGAGGGCAAAGGTGCAGACAGGCAGGTGTTATCTGAAGAAAGGGGCAATGAAAATATGAAATAGCATAGTTTGTCCAGCAGAAATGGTGTTAAGTGTCATGATACAGGCAGAAGAAAAGCATGCATTAGATTCCAAACCTTTCTGAAAATTAATCACTTCAGTTTACTTGTGGGATTACTTCAGGAATTACCACAGTTGATCCAAACATCTGTGATGATGTCAAACACAGCAGATACACTGCAGAAAATAATTTTGTTATGGCTGGGATATATAGAGTATAATAAAAATGGTTTGACAAAACCATTATTAAAAAGCACCTTAGTGGGCAAAATACTTCTACTCACCTGCACAATTCATTCTCTTCACACATCTGGATTACATTCAGACATGATGGGGGTGGAACTACAGTAACTGCACAGGGCTTGCCATGGAGAAGTTCTTTGGCTCTGTGGCAGGATTCATCATGCTGGATGCAGTCACAAAATATCATCATTTGGGCAACTTCAAAAGGCATGTTTCCATAGAAGAACCTTATGGCTGCTTGACATCCTTCCACGTTGCACTTCTTATTTACTGAGCACAGTTTTAGGTACAGGGACAGCTGTTTGTTACACACTTCATCTTCAACACACTCCCTGTTCACATCCAAACAGCTCCTGTTTGTTGTGTGTGCTAAAACCAATAACAGCTTTTAAAATAAAATCTCAAGAAAATTTTTCTCAAGTGATGAGTGGTAGGTGTCCTGTCTACATAATTCCAGTAAATCAAGCTTGATTCCCAAAATTGTGATCCAGCTCCTCCTTCTTTCTTGCTTCTTTTAAGCCTACTGATTAACTTCATACTTCTTTCTTGCTCTGCTTGCACTGCTCACAAGCAACCCTCTTGAAACAGGTGAAATCTCCAGTGTGCAGTCCTATGCTCAAGTAATGAAGAGAATATAAATGGCCTTTTTGTGCTTTTAACATCAGTTTAGGTATTTCGAGACTGAAATAAACCTTCCAAAGATATCTAGAAAATTCTAGACCCTAAAATGCTTATGGGGTAAGATTTGCCTCTGTAAGTTTGGCAGAATCATGGTTGTTACCTGATTTCCTTTTACATTACTTGATTTTTGGGTTCTTGTCTACCCAGTACCTTAACTGAAGATATGTTTGGTTTGTTAACTCCCTGCTCATCCATTTCAATGAAAAGTATTAATTTTAATCTGAAGAAATGTTATACACTGTCTGAAAATTGAGCTAAAATTATTTATTGGGATTCATAAGTAAATTCAGACTTACCTTGTTTGGAGAGAGCAGATAAACCCCATTGTAATTTTGTTTCCATACTAATATTGTCTAGAAGAAAAAGATACAGGTACAGGCATAAATTGTAAATAACATCTTAGCCTTTTAACTTTAAAGTATTGGCTGTCTTGCTGGCATAGCACCAGGAATAAAAATAAATAAGAATAAAACAAATTAATTTGACCAAATAAAACCCACTAACAAATTCTGAATTCACTATTACATATATTCATAAGTTTTGGGGTCAAAGCACAGTTTATCAAAGGCTGCTCCTAGCATTTTTTACATATTTAAAGATCCTGTAGACTCAGTAAGAGTTTTGTGGAGCTTCTCAGTGCATTATAAAGTCAGATTTCCTGTAAATATTTAAAAACCAGGGGCCTTAATGTGTTTATCAATGGACCAGTTTTCAAGTTCAACTGACTGCTTGTCATGACCTAAAGTCAAGGCTAGCAGACGATTCTTGCTATTAGTAAATTATTTTTGTTGGTCTTATACTGCTTCTAGTTATAGCAAAAAACTGAAATTGACTGATTTAGAGCAGGTTGTATCAAATTAACTCATTGAAGAACAACAGTATTTGCACTTAGAGTATCATATTGTATCAGATTCTGAATTTATTTGTAAATAAACCTCCTAAAATGATCATATTTCCAATTTTGAATTGCAAATGGGCAAAAATCTCTTTTTGTAGACTGTGGACACTACTGCTATGTAGAAAGCGTTAGGCTGCTGGAAGAGCACTAACTTGTGTCAGTGACCAGATTTTTCTCACCATCAAGATCACCATTATAGTCATCATCACTGTCACCAGCTCCCGAGGCTTGGCTCTCCTGCGAGTGCTGTAAGCAAGGGTTGTTGAATATTCCCTTCCAGATTTTGATGCATCTGGCCCGACGCGGCTCTGGGCAGGTGCACCTTCCCAGGGGCGTTGTCCTCAGCTCTTTCCAGGCCAGCAGGCACTGGGCGGGCCGGGGGGAGCTGCAGGTGCCCGCGGGTGCCCGGCAGTGCCGCTGGAAGCTCTGGTGCGCGGCCCAGCAGCGCGGCTGCTCCCGGCACAGCCGCCTCGCCACGCCGCAGCTCCCCGGATCCCTGGGGCTCCTGGGGGAGCTGACACCCAGCTCAGGGTCCGACCCCGAGGGAGACGCCAAATAGTCTGCAGAAATAGGTACAAGAAGAGTTATAAATCAAATGGATGGTGGATCGTCATCACAGCGCAAAAACTTGGGAAAAGGGTGCTTGTCTGAATGCATTACAGCAAGTGAAACAGCCCTAGCTTAATTCTGAGCTGTGTGCAAACACATAATAATTCCAGTCTTACAAACTAATGAATCTTCCTCGTGTTTACTGTGTGCTGTTAGCTGTATAGTACAGTCCACTCTAACAGTTCAGCAGTAAAACAATAGTAAAAAATCCTCACTAAAATTACTGTATAAAGAGTTTAACTTCTCATAATTTTAACCACCTACAGCTTGGACATATAATGGATTATCATCTTAAGCAAATGCATCATTTTTAAAGAGAGAATGACAATTCCAGAAGATGGTTGATTCATTACCTAAAATAGCAATTGAAGTTAGACAGGGAGAATTACTCCTGAAAGTGCCTAGCAACACCATATGCTGTCCCTTGTAGGTAAACTCAGCACTACTCTAAGTCTATCCAAACTTGTTTCTATAGTGGTGAGAAATGTAATGTCAATTGTCAAAAAAGATATAACATTATATCATTTTGCTAGAAGCAACTGTTCCAATGACAGCAACATTAGGCTTCAGATATCCATCCTTCTTGTTTGAGGCAAGGAGTTGGGGCAGATCAGGATGTTACTATTCCCTCTGCAATAAGGCCATATAGTCTAGTACTATATGAATGTCCAGCCTAGTACTATGATGAATGCTATGTGAGGCCAGCAGGGTGTGATGGATCAGTGCCAGGAATCACTTTGAAACTCACTTTGCAGACTCTCATTCACTGGCTGATTTTATCTCTCTAGTGTCAGCTTTGTTAATCACTATGCCAGGAGACTTTGGACCAGAAACTGCAACTTCTTCATGTACTAAGCAATTCTCAATTACAGAGACAGACTTTCTGCAGGGATAGGGGTTCTCAGAAAAATAAAAATAAATTGAGGGGAGCTTGGCTCATTGATTACAATAATATTTTTAAAAGATGCACTCTGAATATTATGTACAGCTTTATGCAGGTGGTGACTATATTTCACACATCCAGTAACCTCTCCTAGATGTAGTGAAGATCATCCTGCAACACAGTGTGACACAACTGCATCCCTGTGCATCCCCATGCACTCATCCTCCCATTCAGAAGTTACTGAATGTGGCTATATACACAACCTAGATCCAGTGGCTCTTAAATTTCCCTGGGCATTGAGTAGCCCTCAACACACACTGTGTATTCACTCTTGCTTTCCTGTGGATTCAACAAAAGTTTTAGAAGTCATTTGGATTTTTCACATGCATTTCATTGCTTTTGTTTGTGGCATTTCTTTCATATGCGTGATGGAGCATGAATATCAAAGAAAAGACAAGACTAATTTTGGGGGGCATTTATCACACTTGAGAATATGCAAAGAAAGTCGAATCCACTTAAAATGGTGGTTGCAAATTACTGGGTTTGGTTTTCATAATTACAACTTCATGTTCAGTTACCTTTGTTGATGCTGCACAGTTTCCCAATCAAAGTTGTGATCCTACAGATATCGTCTGTAGTGCAGACACAGTTTCTAAATTCTGGGTATTCGTCAGCCAGGACCTGGATTATTCTATTACATCCAACACTGTCTTCTGCCTTGCATCTATTACCTAGAACTCACCATTAAAGTTATAATTTCATTAATGCTTATGAATGCTTAAGGGATATGGTTACATAAAACAATTTCAATTGAAAAACAAAAATATTATGCTTTGCCAAGAGAAGACAGTTAGTCTTATTTTACAAATTTTAAATAACATTCAAAGTAATATAATAAAGCTGTGGGTACAACATTGACTTCTTTTATTTGATCCATTCCATTGCCAGAAAATCTGCTCTCAAAGTACACAAAACCTTAAACTCACACCTTTTATTTTAGGCAGGTCAGGCATTGACACCAAACTGAACAGGTGCCTGGGAGTGGAAGGGGCACAGCCTGAGCTGAGAGACTTATCTTGGTCCTGTGAAGCAGAAATGAGGTGCCTGGTACAGGGACAGGAACACGGAGTGCAGGCTTGAGGCATCACTGTGTGATGGAGTGAGAGACACGACACAGAGGGCAGAGGCAGCCCCATGATAATGGTGATGAGAACCCCAGGCTGAGGAGACGCTTGCTCTTCTCTCTCTCATTTGAGGATGGTGCAAGCCTAAAAATGCCATTTGGATATTCCCTTGAACCCCTGCCCCATAGAACAACTTCACTGCCTAAGTTTAAGAATGACAACAAATTTAAAGCAGCCCAAGAATAATCTGATTTTTAGGACTTTTAGAATAAAAATGAGGGAGAAGTTAATATCAAAAAAAAATGGTGCAGAAACTTTAGTTTGCTGGCCCAGTTTCATGTCTGTTTGCATGTGCACTTGGACTCAATGGTAAAGACACACAGGATGTCAGGTCATATTTTCCACGTATGTGTGGTGAAAATAAAGAATATGTAATAGCTTGTGGTACAAAGGTAAATCAATCAACCATCTACTTTGTGAGATAAAAGCTTTTCAAAAATATTATTATGATGATAGTGGGATTGTGTGCATCCTCAGCAAATTTGCTGATGGCACCAAGCTGTGTGGCACAGTTGGCACGTTGGAGGGAAGGGATGCCCCTGGAGGGACCCTGGCAGGCTTGAGAAGTGGGACAATGCAAACCTTACAATGTTCAATAAAGCAAAGGGCAAGGTCCTGCACCTGGGTCATGGCAATCCCAGACACACCTTCAGGCTGGGCAGAGAAGGGACTGAGAGCAGCCCTGCAGAATGAGACTTGGGTGCAAAGGTTGATGAAAAGCCCATCATGAACTGACAGTGAGTGTTCACTCAAAGCCAAGTGTGCCCTGGGCTGCATCAAAAGCAGCATGGCCAGCATGTGGAAGGAGGTGATTCTACACCTCTACTCTGCTCCCATGAGACCCCAGTTGGAGTGCTGCATCCAGCTCTGGTGTCCTCAGCATAAGAAGGACATGGGACTGTGGGAGCAAGTCCAGACAAGGACCAGGAAGTTGATAACAGCACTGGAGCTCTTCCCCTACAAGGAACAGCTGAGAAAGCTGGGCCTGGAGAAGAGAAAGTTGTGTGGAGACCTCACAACCTTCAGTATCTGAAGGGGCCTAAGGGAAGCCAGAGAGGGACTCTTTGTCAGGAACTGTAGTGACAGAACAAGGAGTAATGGGTACAAACTGAAAGAAGAGAAATTTAGGTTAGATTTTAGGAAGAATTTTTTTACTGTGAGGATGATGAGACATCAGAAGAGGTTGCCCAGGGAGGCTGTAAATGCCCCATCCCTGGCAATGTTCAAAGCCAATTTGATAAGGCCTTGAGCAACCTGGTCTAGTGGGAGGTGTCCCTGCACAGGGCGGGGGGGGTGGGACTAGATGATCTCTAAGGTCCCCTCAACCCTTATCAATATATGATTCTATGATTTATTATTGATTAAGAAAGTTACACATTACTTAAGAATGTTACAAGTGAAGCAATTTAATTTGATTTAGATAAGTTTTATTTTGTTAAAGCCATGATTTACCTTGTCAAAACAGGTACGTGGATCCCCAAACCAGCACATTTCCTCTCTTTACCTCATAGATATTAAATGTCTCACAATATGTAGGAGAAGCAGTCTGTGGCTCACGAGATCCAGCCAGGTCACAGGGCAGCATGAGGGCTGGTTTCTGTCCCCTGAGCACACAGGCTGATGTCTCTGCCCTGCAAATGGTGCTGCCTGCTCCCAGCCTGGCTGGTCCCCACAGGTGTAGCGCAGCAAAGACTCTGCACTCAGTAAAACTGCAAGTGACAAGAAGTCCTGTGTCACCAGCACCACGGGCAAGCTTTGATGTGAGCAGGGCTTTAAAATCACTTGTATGTCGCTGACACAAATAGCAGTGGAAGGCAGTGGAGGCAAAGCTCTGCAGGAGGAAACAGTGCATTTTGCCACTGCCTGAAGTGATGAGAATCAGCTATTCCTGACTTCACATCCCTGTTCTGATCCCCCTTTTTACCAACAGTCTCTGCATTGCCCTTTCTCCAGCTGCTGACTAAGGAGGGTTTGGGGCGATATATCAAATAATACACTGCTAGTGGGGAATGTCCCAGGCCAGCAAGAGCTGCAGGTCCCAGCCTCTGCTCCCACTCCACCTCTTCCATCAGCAAAGAAAGACCTGATGGTGGCTGGGGTTGCCTGTATCTCTCCAACCCCATCCTTCAAATTTCCTTCTGCTTTTTCAGAAGTAGATCATGACCCCAGACCCTTAGCCCTCACAGTTCCACAAGTCAAGGAACTCAGGAGATTTATTGAAGGCCACAGACATAGGATACTTCCTGACCATAAAAACAGGATGGAAAGGATGCAGTCACATGGCCCATGAAGATGAGTGTGTGGATATTCTACTCTGCATTTTATCAACTAAGAAAAGGAGAACAAAAGAATTTCAGGAAAATATATTCCAGTAGAAAGAGAGCAATAAAGATTAGAAGGGGCTGGTGTAAAAAGTAGCTTATTCACAAAATTTGTGACTGCCTTTTTCAAGGTCCAGAGCACACCTCAAGGGTGAAGGTGAGTAGAACTAGAAGAATAAACCCCCATGCCCCAGTGTATTTTGCACAGCACCCCGGCCTCACTCAGCTCACCTGTCTTCATGGCACTGCCCAGTCGTGGCCAGGAGTTGGGGCTGAGTTCAGTGGCCCTGTGCTGTGATCTCACTGTGCTGAGTCAGCACCTGACAGCTGGGGCTGGGGAGAGGCTGTGGGGCCACCGACATGCAAAGGGCACAGACACAAGCAGGAAGCACATCAGATTTATGGGGCTCCCTTGCATGACTTCTTAAAAACTGTGTAGAAATAACCTATTATCAGTATTGCTCTGTTTGTACATGGTATTGATTCAGCTGTGATTAGCAGCAGAAAATATTTTATTACTGGTTTTCAATTATTGTTGCTTTACCAGGGATTAGTTCTAGGTAATATATTTTATCTTATACATATGCTTCTAAGGCATTTAAGAAAAAAAATGCTCTCTCAACCTAATGTTTGGCAGCCATTATTCATAATTTGATTTATTTATAGGTGCACAATTCATGTACACAGGACCACAGATAGAGGTGTGGCAGAGTAGAAGCTGACACTCCCAGGGTGATAATCTCTGCTTTTGCTTAATCAGCTCTTCAGCCATCTCAGTGGGAATTGAATTTGAAGACTGCAGGGGAAAGTGTGAGGTTTTCCTCTCTAGCACTGGTGAGACCACAGTTTGAATAGATCTCCAGAGATGCTTCCAACCTCAATGAGTCTGCTATTCTAGGAAAATTAAACTCATACAGATCTAATTCAAAATGTAATTCCTTACAATGAAAGTGATCTGAGTTGTTTTTTTTTTTTAACCTTTCCTGTTTCCCATTCAAAAAAAAAAGAAAATTTATACTTATGGTTAAATCAGTGTTCAGAAATGTCTTTTTTTTTACATTGAAACAACAGAAGGAAAACAAACAAATAACCAATCCCACAAATACACCATAAAAACCCAAACCTAAAAATCTTCATTCAGCAGTGCTGAAACTCTTTTGATCTTTTCAAAATGAAAAATCTTATTTCATCAAAATTTAATATTTCTATCTTTTCTATCCTGACTGTTTTTTCTTTCCACCACATTTTGGCCACAGAGGTGAAAGAAGGATTGGACCCTGAAGATTATAAACTGAGACTCTTGAAATGCTGCTGGAGTAGTGGGGAAGAAGTGATGGAAAATTTGACAGGAAAAGGAGTGACTTAGGCAGTAGTTTGGAGAGTGTTCCCAGACCTGCACTGAAGAGCAAAAGATGCAGGTTCTGATAATGTACACATTTAACTTTGAGGTTACCATCTGATGGACTGAGTTATCGAACTCGTACCCCAAAGGAGTTTCATTATAATTTGTATTAGGTTTTCCACAAAGAAACTAACAAAACAAATATTTACCCCATTGTCTATTGCCTCCAAGTGACATGTTTGTGCTCAAATGACATTTTCCATTCCTACAGCATGAAGTTTCTAGGCTTGCACATGACAGTCAGTGTAATGTTACTCTTACTGAAGATGCTGCTGGTGGGTTTTCTATCACTGTTTCTGTGGGCTGTCTGAGAGGTACCACCAGCTGTCTGACTGGATTCACATGCTCTGGAATCATGGTGCTAATAAGCACATTTAGTAAAATTTGTCCTAGACCCAACACAATATCTGAGAGCTCTGCAATGCTGGAGAGTCCTTGCCAAAAGATATTATCCTTAAGAAACATACAAAGATGCAAATCCAAACAAGCAGTCACAAGAATGAGTATTTCTGGAAGATTTCTCTGGCCCAGTTACAAATATCTTTAATATCAGTGAATAAGTACATAGGATAATAAGAAAGAGAAATGTCATATTATGGGACAATGTCATACATCCAAAGGGGGGCCACAGAAGCAATCATGTTTGCCCATTTCATCTGGCTGCAGGGTACCAAGATTAACAGGCTACAGCACAAATATATATCTTTGTGGCAAGTAGTGCTGGTGCTAATGTGTTTGGGAATGATGTGAGAGAAATAAATTCAGCTTGTTCTGTTTTGGTCCTAGAGAGCTCATCTTTAGGGCACTTGAGCCAGAAAGTACTGCATATTCCAATATTATTTTTTCCTAAACAGCAGCCATATCTTTTGAAACTGTTTCATTTCACATAAAATATTCAACAGATCAATAGAAAAGGGGCTGAAGCTCAGCTGCTTTGGGAACTGTTGTAACTGTTATATTATCATATACTTTTCATTTACTTCATCTGTTCTTAAAAGTATTCAGACATTCTATGCAAAGTAGATAAGTATCTGGAAAGGGACACACTAAGAAAGACCCCAAAGAGAATTTTCTACTCTAATTATTTCAAATATTGTCTTGTGACTTGGGACATTTGGAACATCAAATACATGCAACAGATCAGACAGACAGAGGCATTCATTCAGGTAGCTCATACTAGAGGTGAATGTTTTATCTGTTTCTTATTCTAGTACAATAATTAAAAATTACTCTAAGTAACTACCACATTGTTTTGGGTATTGTGTTAGATTATAGAACCACAGAATTGTTTAGATTGGAAGGGACCTTCAACCCCTCTGCCATTGGCAGGGATGTGTTCCACTAGAACATTCCTGGAAGGTTCCTCAAAGCCCCGTCCAACCTGGCCTTGGACACTGCCAGGGAGGGGCAGATCAACTCCTGCAAATTGTGGAAAACAAAGCTGGAACTTCTCCAGTTGCACACAGGCTTTATTTAACAGGATCCCACAGAAGCCTAATTTCTGCTGAATTCAGATTTCTTGAGTTGGTTCAGGCTCTGACTTTGTTCCTAGTGCAGAAATTTCACTTATCACTTTCTTGAAGAGACAGTGTGACTGTTACTAGAAGTAGCATTGGCCATTGCAAAGGATTTCAGAAGCTGATTGTCTTCTGCCCTAATTTTTCTCTTTGAGATTTCACGGACTTCATTTAGTTACCAAGCAATATTGTAATAAACTATGAACATGCAATTGCATATAGCAATTCAAAATCAAGGTGTGTACACCATACAGAATTACCTGAAATATTGCAGGCATCTTCAACCACATTCCAGACACTCTCACATCCATTTCCAGCATTAATACATTGCTCCCTCAAGTGCAGACAGTCAGTAGTCTGGACAGTAGATATACATGTGAAGTAAATGAACAACACTGTAAAAACAGAATATAATGACTATTTAAAGCAGTAGATACTGTACTGCTACTGTACTGTACTTTTCCTTTAAACATAGATTTTAAAAATATAATTTACTATGGTTTTTTCTATAGATTCAAGTTTGCTATCAAATTATATTTTAGCAGAACAAAGTTTTCCTCCATTTTGTAACTGGAAAATTAAATTTAAATGTTCAAAGTTTCAGTGTGGCATATTTTGCATTGGTTTTGCCCCAGTATTATAACAGTAACCATAGTTATGTATGACATTGATGCATGGATATATAGAAATTGTTGCAGTTCTGAGCTCCATAAATTACAGAAAGGAAGACAGTATAAAATCCAGAAGAAACAGTACTTTATTCACATAAAATCTCACCAAACTAAGCTGTTTAGGAATTCCTATTAATAGAGTGTGGGAAAGAGATTTGACAACTACAAAACTGTTAAATAATAAATATGATTTTATTTTATAAATACAGTACTCTTCACTCTCTTTATTTTTATTTCACAGATGCATAATTTCTTGAAAGCAATCTTCACATATATGTCTTCATCTGCTTTCCTGAGTGCATTGAGCCTGCTAATTACATTAAAAAGTTCTGGAGGTTTCAAGGTAAAGAATTTTATAGCAGCACTGCCTGTGACTTATCAGTAGAAAATTAAATTGCCTTGTTAAGAAAGAATAAATCAGCTGGGGTTTAGCTCTTTCATTAACATTCCCATGGTAAGGCAACCTCTAATTTGTAATCATGTGTCTTTATTTTCTATAAAATTAAGTTTCAGTCACTGATTTCAGGCCTTATCAAACTACCTGCTGAACACCTGATGTGTTTTCTTTAGTTGTTGAAGAACACAGCATCTTTCTGACAAAATACCTTTCCCCCCCACCCCCGTCATGTTCAGGTAAATTCATGTGGAATTTGAGTGGTTTCCAGCATTGTTTAATCCCTTAAACATCATTTGCAAGAGGCATGAAATGTTGCATCAGGATTTGTTCAGACCCTAGCTGAAGAAATTAACTTTTTTTCAATTATACATTTTAGAATAAGAAATTATATATCAAATATCCCTCTTGATAACCTCAAAGAGCACTACTGTTTAGAGGTGATGCCATTCCTTCTGGAAATTATTTGTCAGGGATATAATGCTGCTGCTGTAGCATTTTCGGACGCGTGTCAATAAATATGAGGCAACATTTAATACATAATGATGGACAGGTGCAACAGCAACTAGTGTGCCTGTGAGACAACAGAGAGGCCACATGTGCTTATTATATGTGCTGGTGCTAATCCTTGCTCAGTGGTGCATATTCCTGGCAGTTCTGAGATCCATGCAGGACTGGTGGTGATTTCCAGCCTCAGGTGATTTCCCGGGCTCTGTCTGTCCATCAGCCTTGAGGACATACTGACAGAAACAGCTCCTACCTCTTGGCCTTGAGGAATGTGCAGCTGGCCCTATCCATAGGACAATTATGGCTTATTATGACAGCATTTTAGTTCTAGGACTGCCTCCAAAAGGTCTTTCTTATTTTGAAATTACTCCCTATTTATTCAGATGACAGAAAAAAAAAAATTGCCAAATACCTTACAGGGCAAAATGGCTGCATATATAAAACAATACAAAATTATAAACCCACATATTTATTAAGAAAAGGTATTTTCCTGGATGACTGTTTATCTATTTTTTAGGTTCTTACACAACAGAAGGTTTACTCATCTGACTAGGATTCACATCACTAAGTCTCTGTGCTCTCTTCCTCGTGTTCAGACAGTTTTCAAGGACCAGTGGCTGGGACAATCAAAACAGGACTGACTGACGTACTGAACAGCCTTCCTGCTACGTTTTAGGGAGTATTTCACACTGCTGCCCGTTTTGAACCTAACTGGAAACTGGTCCCAAAATAGGAGGTGATGTTTTTGCAAAATGAAGAGGTGAGTAGCATAATCTATGATTTAAGGCCCTTCAGCCGAAGGAAGGGCTTCTTTAGGTCAAATGACCTATTATGGATGGGTCTTTGATTCCTCAGCAGAACAGAGGGGGTACACAGCCAGAAACCTACATGAAACAAACTGTCCTATACGATTTTAGAGTCCAGGGCACTGTAGCTTATGCAATTTCTTAAACTGACAGATATTACTTTAGTTGCTCACTTTAATTATTTACTCTAGTGTTTGGAATACTAAGGGATTCTGCATAGAACAATTGAGGGTATCAAAGATTTAGTTTGCAGCTAAAACTTTTAGCGGGATCCATATTGACAAGAAGACACACATTTAAATTTCTACAGATGTATGTATTTTTATGCAAAGGCCTATTGACTTGCTGGGTAGGTGTACAATTCTCTGTTTTCTGTAAAATTTGGTGCCTAAATTTAAAAGGAGGGGGAAAAAAACATTTTAGCACCTTCATTTTGCAGATTGGGAACTGAGGAATGGAGGAATTACATTTCCCAATTCTGCAATCCTAAAATAATGCAAGTAAGTAATGATGAATATTAGGAAGCCAAGCTGTGGTTTCTATCCAATGGCAAGAGCAGTAGGATAACAAGCTCCAAAGGCAAAATGGCAAACTACAGCTGAATATATTTTGAATATAGTTGAAAAGTGATAAAAGACAACTTTATTTTAACAAAACCTAGGACAGAACTACCTATGGAATACTTTTAACACGGAAATATCAGTTTAGAGTAGTGGGGTGTTAAAGAGAGAAGAGCATGTATATAGTGAGGAGAAAAGGAGAATAACAAAAATTAACATACAACATACTTGTCTCATCATATTCTCCTGTACCAGGAGAAATCTTTCTGTACCAGCTTTGCTGATTTTCCCCTTTTCTCCACTCAAGCCCAAAGGCAGTGTGAGCAGCCCTGTGTGTAGCCCCGGCAGCACCCAGCGCTCCCCGGCCAGCAGACAAGCGGCTGTTCACCCAGACCAGGTGTCCCCGGCCAGCAGACAAGCGGCTGTTCACCCAGACCAGGTGTCCCCGCCGCTCCGCTCCTGCTTCCCGCCGCCCTGCCCCAGCCCTGCCGGGGCGCGCTCCCGGGGCCGAGCCAAGCCTGACACCCGCAGGAGCAGGAGCCGTGCCGAGGGACAGAGGGAAGGAAGGGGAGGCCGGGGCCGCGGGTCCGGTGCTGCCTGCCCGCCCGCCGCACTTACCGGGGCCGAGGAGCGCGGCCGTGGCCATGGCGCTGCCGCAGGTGCCGAGCGGGGCCGCGGGTGCCCAGCGGGGCCGCCGGTGCCGGAGCGGGGCCACAGGAGTCGGAGCGGGGCCACAGGCGCCGAGCGGGGCCACAGGAGTCGGAGCGGGGCCACAGGCGCCGAGCGGGGCCGCGGGTGCCGGAGCGGGGCCACAGGCGCCGAGCGGGGCCGCGGGTGCCGGAGCGGGGCCACAGGCGCCGAGCGGGGCCGCCCCTTCAGCACCGGCCCGGGGACAGCGCCCGCCGGGCCCGCCCGCCGCTCCGGGCGCTCCGAGCGGGGGCAGCGCTGACTCCCGCCCGTACAGCGCTGCCCCTGCCTCTGCCCCTGCAGCGCTGCTCCTGCCTCTGCCCACCTCCTGCGGCCAGGGCACGGAGTGAAGCTTCCCGCCCCCGGGAGCGGCCTTGGCTGCCGCTGGCACACCCTCTGCGTGCATTTCTTGTCTTGCCACAAACGTCCAGATGACACGCAGGAGTTCTTCGGCATCTTCCACGCGATCTGGCACTCCCTCCGCACTTAGTTCTCTCTCATTTGATCTCCAGAGAAACCAACAGAGTAGGTCTTTGGCTGCCGCCTATAAGCTCCTCTCTGAAATGCCTGTTGCTATGTCCTATCACCTTCTGTAAGCACTTTTCAACCCATTTTAGGAGTGAATTTGTTTTCATCTCCCATGTGGAATACAATCTTGATCGGTTAAGGAGAGAGAAGACTTATGGAATATGTTGGATGGCAGACCAGGGGAACAAATAATTAATCTATAGTCTGGTCCCAGATTGGACTATGAGAGTAACCTCAGGTGTTTCACTAGAATACCTCAAAAACCAGTTTGCCATATAAGTCAGCAGCTGACTTGGTACTTAACAATGGAGCAGTCAGCCATAAAGGATACAATCATACACCTGCTGGCTCCAGTGTGCGTGCTTTGCTTTTGCAGTGGAAGGAGGAGGAAAAAACAGATCCCTACTGATTTCCCCATGCTACTCATGAATCTTATTTTCACAAATTTTTTACTGTATTTGGTCCTTAAATGCCTAAACAAAAAGATGTTATAAAATTTTCAGCTTAGCTATTGGAGAGACAGATATAGCGGTTGAAATCTTGTCCCTGCTGACAAAGCAAAACTTGACCCAAAGTTGAGATTTTGGTTATTTTTCTTAGCTCAGGAAAAATCTATCTTGCCTGTAGTTTCTCTTTTTATTTTATTTTACACTTATTTTTAGCTAGTTTTTTAAACTGCATTATTTACGTAAGCTCTTAATGACAAAATTACCAAATATTTGTTTGTGGGCTTTTTAATGGTTCAATAAATAATATATTACTTCACCCAATATATCCAACAGCCACAGAAAAACCTAATTGTCAACTAGAAAGAACAGCCTGAAAGATTAGTGTAATTTTAGTTGTGAGACAAATTCTAGGTTGGAAAGCTAAATTTGCCTTTGCTTTGAACCACTGTAATATGCAGCAGTAGGTTATGATACGTCATTGAGTGAGGGCTGACTTAAAGTAATGTTTGGTGTATTCTCCATCTTTTAAAACAATCTCCAGGTTAATAACACATATCAGTTTTGCTAAAATCAGAGAATGAGATGGTTTTCTCTATTTAGTCCAGAAGAAAAGGAAAAACATTGTGGTTTTGGAGGCGGGGACAGGGAGATATTATCTTGCATTCATTGTGACTGCAAGGCACAAACTTATCACTACAGTGACAACAGTAAAGGAGAAACAGGTCAGGAAATCAGACCTTAAAGACTGTGAAATATGTTGAGACACAAAGCACCAGAATGATGGTGGCACAAGAACTCATATTTGCAGGAACAAATATGCTGTGATTTAAACCCTATGTTTAATGCTGCTGTGGACAAGCAGAAACAATGGCATGAGAACTCCATTTCTCCATTTATCTCCCTTTCAATAGTGGAAATATTAGAATAACAAAGCAGCTAGAGGTAGCAAAGCCCAATTATGGCTCAGATTTTAGATAACATTTAGTATTTATATGCTGGATAAGAAATGTTAATTCATTATACACTCTCTTCTCACAGCTATTTCTATCTCCATTGGTGGCTATTGCTCACTATTGGGTTTATTTCTCCTTGTGATTATTTCAATTAAAAAAAGGTATTTCTTGAAATTTTAAAAACTAAAGAAATAAAAGAATAAGAATATTTTCATCAAAAATATTTATTTTTGAATGAAAAATCATTTCATAAAAATAACCAGATATTTTTCTTGATAACCATATTTCACCAATATTTAGCTTGATGGCCAGAGTGTCTGGCAAAAATTGGTTAATGCTCTCTAGCTCTCCTTAGAATTTAAAATCTGATACAATATCTGAGTGTATAATTTGTGTCTGAAAGACATGCTGTAGAAATTGTCCAGAGAAAATCCAGAATCATTTGCTAATGAATGTCTCATATTTTATTTATCCTCTCCACAGAAAAAGTACTGCTAAGTTAAAGTTGTGGTTAAAAGAAATTCCTAGAAATGTTGGAACATTTTAATTCTGGAGATCTAGGTGAAAATAAGAAAAGATAAAAAGGAGAATCAAGATATGCTTTCTCTTACAAAGACAAAATTAAGGCCAGAATCTCCCTTTCTAACACAGCACAGAACACCTCCAAAAACTGCCATTGACCTTTAGTGATGTTCTTTCCTCAGAACTAACTCAGCTAACACAATTTATCCCCCTGGCATTAAGGTAGCAGCAAGAAGAATACAAATTGTGTCAGCAGGTGCTATTCACCCCCTGTTTAGAAAGATGCTAATTAGGATTTGTCCATTAGCATCGATATTTTGGTTCTTTCTTTGCTGGCCCAGGTTAGGAGTACTGAACCCTCTTCCTCTCTGTTTGTCTCACAGGGATCTGGGGAACACACCTGACAAGGCATAAAAATTTATCTGCCTTCCACAGTGACCCTTTATGTTTGAAAAGTATACATATTCCCCTCTTATGCTGCCCAAGTTTCCTTAAATAACCTTTGCTTTCTACATTCTTTCTCTTTCTTCAAGGATAAGCCAAAAATACATTTTCTGAAATCAAAATATAGCTTTCCCAAATTTGGGCATAATAGACATTTTTCAACCGTGGGCTGAGATATTTTATGTCTCAAATAAATGATTACTGATATTTATTTTGCAGCTGGGTTGCTATACTAGTTTTTAACTTTATGACTATTTATTTGCTTATAACTAAACAAAAGAAAAGCTTAGAGGACTTTTGAAATTCCATTTCCCCATATCTGTAATGTTTTAATTCAGCAGGTGTTTGTTAAATAATTTCAAATTTTATAGAAAAAATATATATCTTGTTCAACATTCTTTAACAATTCTGCATTTTCCATGGCTGAAAATAGTCTTCTTATGGTAAAGGAATTGCAATAGCTATGAAATCAAATCCTGCTGTGCTTTCCACAGTTATTTGGGTTTTAGTTTTCTTGGAAGAGATGAAGAAAAATAATGTCTTAAAATAACATTGGTATAATAGCTATATTTAAAAATGAAGCTTACACACACGAATATTGAAAATCCTATTATTTTATTTGATATTTAAACATTCTGTCCATTTAGATATTTTTCTTTATTATTTTTTAATTAAAAAAGAGTATTCTCCTTTTCCTCTTTAAATAGAAAACTTTAATATCCAAATGAATGCAAATCCCTTTCTCTCACTTAACAGCAATGAAAACTAGGAGGAATTGCAACAGTGTCAAGTAAAACAGCTGTTGGGGAAGGCTAAAGCATAAAGTGATTGAGCACTTCATAAAACTATAGTTGCCATGATAGATAATACATTGCATGACATTAGGTCAAAGAAAAACCTAGAAAAATATTTACAAAAGGTAATCAAATAACACCTGGTCAATTAATAATTGGCTTTATAGAAACATTTGAATACATGAGACTATCTTCTTCCTATGCCAAATAATTTTTAATAGAAAAGTCCTCCCTCTCATCTTACCGGTTCTTTTGAAAAATCTGGACTGAAATGCAAGAATAGTGCCACAGGGAAATTGTATCTCAGGTTCTCATAATTAGCCTTTTTCTAACCAATAGACCACATTCTTCTAGAAGACTAAGTCTCCACTGATGCACCATGTTCATCCTTTAAGGAAAAAAATACAATACATAGTAGGAAGCTCCAGGCCAGAGAGATTATCCCATAAATAGCTATATAGATCTAGAATTGATTGTATCTTTAGTTATAAATGGCAGTTGAGAGGGAAGTCATGAAAACGAAAGGCAATTAATGTTCCCTACGTTAAAGATTTTCAGAGATCTTCTGGAGCAACACGTACACATCATGGACTAAAACGAGCTACCAAAGTTAAAATGTCCAGTCCTTCAGAGGTGCTGACACTTGTTATTCCTATTGGCCTGAGCAGAAAATTTGAGCCTATAGCACCTTTGAGCATCACATAAGTTTTATTTAAATGGTTACTTTTTAGGCACTCAAATCTGAAAAAAATAAAAGGCTGTTTAAGTGTAATCTTATGAAAATATGTGACTTTCAGCACTTTGGATTCACATCTTAGAAGCAGGTCTGTACTTAGAAAAGTAATGTGGACTCTCCCCAAGTCAGTCTGAAGTGAAAGTTCCATAAGAAACATAGAACTTACTACAAGTGGATTTGCAGAAAAAGAAGTGCAAAGTAATGCCAGAATATCACTAGTGCATAAGTAAGCATTCTTTGTACATGAATCAATCATTTATAGAAAGAGGATATAAATAAATGGTGTTTGAGCTTTCTTTCAAATACTTAGATTTCTTCATATGATACATTTTAGAACATTTCACAGCATCTAAAATATATAAAAATAAATATCTACAATATTTACAAAGTATGATACAATCCAATCCTTAAAAAGAATTGTAAAGACATGTTCTTTAGCTCATACTGAGGTAAGTAGGTTTCTGTAAGACTGAGAAAAAAGAGGATAGGCAGTTATTTTGAAGGAACCCCTTTGTCCAGTTGTAGTTTGTACCACAGCTAAAACCATGTGACACTCTGTGGCAGTTGTAGTGTATTGAGCCAAAGTCATCCTTGCTGTAGCTCCATCGAAGTGAGTTTAGTTATGCTAGGGACAAATTTATCCCACTCTGCATTCTCTGGTTTGACAGTGTCTTCTGCAGAAACCCTCATGGCTTCATCTATGTTTGAAGTCATGTTCATCCCAGGTATGTGGAGATGCAGTTCTGCTGACTTCAATGGGCTGAGCATCGCTGGGATATCTGTAGACAAAATAAAGATTTTAAATAATTTCACTGCTTGTATCAGGTGGCTGGCTAACTGACTCTCTGAGTATCTCTCTCTGAACACTATGCAGGTGATTATCTATTAGTAAAATGGTCTTCCAGAAAATGTTTCAAATTGCATTTGAAAATTGGAAGTGAAAGCTTCTTGACTGAAGACTAAGGGCATTTCTAAGGCATAAATATAGATTTTTAAACTTTGCAACATTTTAATGTGTTCTACTACTTAT